GTGTGGATCAGCTCTGTAGGTGTGGATGCTAACATGTTAGCCTGTGTGGATCAGCTCTGTAGGTGTGGATGCTAACATGTTAGCATGTGTGTATCAGTTCTGTAGATGTGGATGCTAACATGTTAGCATGTGTGGATCAGCTCTGTAGATGTGGAAGCTAACATGTTAGCATGTGTGGATCAGTTCTGTAGATGTGGAAGCTAACATGTTAGCATGTGTGGATCAGCTCTGTAGGTGTGGATGCTAACATGCTAGCATGTGTGGATCAGTTCTGTAGGTGTGGATGCTAACATGTTAGCATGTGTGGATCAGTTCTGTAGTGTGGATGTTAACATGTTAGCATGTGTGTATCAGTTCTGTAGTGTGGATGCTAACATGTTAGCATGTGTGGATCAGCTCTGCAGTGTGGATGCTAACATGTTAGCATGTGTGTATCAATTCTGTAGTGTAGATGCTAACATGTTAGCATGTGTGTATCAATTCTGTAGTGTAGATGCTAACATGTTAGCATGTGTGTATCAGTTCTGTAGTGTAGATGCTAACATGTTAGCATGTGTGTATCAGTTCTGTAGTGTAGATGCTAACATGTTAGCATGTGTGTATCAGTTCTGTAGTGTAGATGCTAACATGTTAGCATGTGTGGATCAGCTCTGTAGTGTGGATGCTAACATGTTAGCATGTGTGTATCAGCTCTGTAGTGTGGATGTTAACATGTTAGCCTGTGTGTATCAGTTCTGTAGGTGTGGATGCTAACATGTTAGCCTGTGTGGATCAGCTCTGTAGTGTGGATGCTAACATGTTAGCATGTGTGGATCAGCTCTGTAGTGTGGATGCTAACATGTTAGCCTGTGTGGATCAGCTCTGTAGTGTGGATGCTAACATGTTAGCATGTGTGGATCAGCTCTGTAGGTGTGGATGCTAACATGTTAGATGCAACATGTTAATTGAAACATGTTTAAAGTAAAAGCTGCTCACTGGGAGCTGGTCATGCTGACATGAAGCTCAGTCATGTTTCTCTAACAGGAGTTAAAGCTCTCAGGTTCACTTCCTGGTTTTAAAGCTGTCAGATTCATGTGAGAAGAAGCTTTGTCTCCTGGGGGGTGTTGGAGGTCTGATGCTCCTCCTGGTCCAGGTGAGGGTGAGGACAGGAACCAGAACAGAATGTGTTGAAACAGATGTTGGCAGGTTAGGGGTTAATCCACCTCGATGGACTCGCTGCTGTCGTTCACAGGTTTACACTCGTTGGGCAGGCGCTGGTGACGGCTCAGCTGAGTGGCCTGGGTGAAGCTGCGGTCGCAGCGCTCACACCTGAAACACACAAAAACACACATTAGTTCAGTGAAGAGGCAGCTCCGAACAATAAAACAACATCTGTGAAACTGAAGCTGAATAAAAGAAGACTGTAAACTGAGCTTTAATCTGAAACCAGCACCGACTCCTCACAGCAACAAGGTTCAACCCCCGGGTCAGACCTGGGGTCTTTCTGTGAGGAGTCTGACTGTTCTCCTCGTGCTTGTGTGGGTTTTCTCTGGTTTCCCCCACAACACATGAACATGTAAAACAGGCTGCCTGCAGGCCATCCTTCAACACACATGTGTGAAGTCAGAGGGCTTTACCTGGATAAATAACAGTAAATAAATAAAAACAATAATAAATAAGTTAACTGAACTAAAACTCATATCCTGAACTGAATCAAACCACAGTTTTTAATGCTGTAGTTTTTATTAATATGTAAATCTGAAATGTGGGTCTGCATTCAGTGTAAACAAAGCATCAGTTGGCTCCACATCAGGCTGATATATTCTGTAGAGGTAAACATCAGCTGAAGAATTTAGAGCAAGTCTTCAGGTGTAAACAGATTAAATCTGCAGCTAAAGAAACAACAAGACTGAATCAATTAGAACTGTGAAAGACAGAACGTCTGAGCTGCTTCTACATGTAAACAAACGCTTCAGCTGCTTCTACATGTAAACAAACACTTCAGCTGCTTCTACATGTAAACAAACACTTCAGCTGCTTCTACATGTAAACAAACACTTCAGCTGCTTCTACATGTAAACAAACACATCAGCTGCTTCTACATGTAAACAAACACTTCAGCTGATTCTACATTTAAACAAACACTTCAGCTGTTTCTAAATGTAAACAAACATTTCAGCTGTTTTTACATGTAAACAAACACTTCAGCTGTTTCTAAATGTAAACAAACATTTCAGCTGTTTTTACATGTAAACAAACACTTCTGCTGTTTCTAAATGTAAACAAACATTTCAGCTGTT